TACACTCATGTATATGTGGATTTAACGGTTAAAAATATCAACAGAATGGTCTGTAACGGGACTTTAACCTTTTCCTCTATTATTATATCTACTGGATGAGCTGCTAATGAGTTGAAATCTCATCTCATATTTTAATCCAAACAAATCCCAATCAAATCAATGGCAGCAGAATCAAACGTCAACACGAAGCCACTCCAAGATCGCGTCGCCATAGTCACTGGCGCCTCCCGCGGCATTGGCCGCGCCATCGCCATCCATCTGGCCTCCCTCGGCGCTAAAGTCCTTATCAACTACGCCTCCACCTCAAGCTCCGCCCTAGCCGACGCCGCCGCCGCCCAAATCAACGCCTCCTCCCCCGCCGACCACCCACGCGCCGTCACCTTCCAGGCCGACATCTCCGACCCCGCTCAGGTTAGGTCCCTCTTCGACGCCGCCGAGTCCGCTTTCGGCTCCCCGATCCACATCCTGGTAAACTCGGCAGCCGTCACCATCTCCAAGTACCCCACGCTCGCCGCCACATCCGACGAGGACTTCGATCGGGCCTTCGCCGTCAACACGCGCGGCGCGTTCCTCCTCTGTCGGGAGGCAGCGAACCGGATCCGGCGGGGAGGCGGGGGGAGGATAGTGTGCCTGACAACGTCGGTGGTGGCGTCGCTGAAGCCGCTGCTGGCCGCGTACGCCGGGTCGAAGGCGGCGGTGGAGACGATGGTAAAGGTGCTGGCCAAGGAGCTGAAGGGGACGGGGATAACGGCCAATTGCGTGGCGCCGGGGCCGGTGGCGACGGACATGTTCTACGAGGGTGAGGGGAGGGCGGAGGCGGAGGAGAAGGCCGTGGCCGACTGTCCGCTGGGTAGGATGGGGCGCGCGGAGGACATCGCGCCGCTGGTGGGGTTTCTGGCGAGTGACGCCGGGGAGTGGGTCAATGGGCAGGTCATCCGTGTCAACGGAGGATACGTGTCGTGATAACATTCGTTCACTCATGTGTGCTGTGCTGTGCCCACTTCAATTTCAAATTTCCCATCAAAAAAATAAATAGTGGCAGTCGAAATGACAATGTAGTCCTTCTCGTCAATTAA